TGAGACAGCTCTCCATCTAAGACCAAACGTATGCATTGTAGATGCCTGAGACCTTAAAGTTTTATCAACAGAAAATAATGTGTATCAAGCAAATGTTTTGCTGTTGGTGTTCTCTTTTTTCAAAATGTTTTCAGTCAATCCTGCATGTGACTGTTTAAAGTAGTGTTTTGTAATTTGTTGTCTGGTTTTTTTTCTCATGGTGTTTTTGTCTAGCATATGATGTATGTTGCAGAAAGCATTATGTCTACTATATTTGGTGTTTGGAACATCTCAATGATTGTCAGGTGTACATTTTCAACTGGCGTGTGTCACCTGACCTGATCAAAGTTATTTTTTCTTGTTTGGTCTGGTTTTTAAATACTATAAGCATTAAGTCAATTGTATTTGATGTATGGAATGTTTGTTGTGTACAATATAAATAAGATGATGTGGTATGATTGCCAATGACACAACTCTCCATCCAAGTCACATGTGTGTATTTAAAGTTAGCAATTATAGGTCAAAGTACAACCTTCAACATGAAGCCTATGCTCTCACCAAACAGCAAGCTATAAAGAGCACCAAGATGAACAGTGTTAAACAATTAAACAGGAAAACCAATGTTCTAATCTATATACAAAATGAGGAATGAAAAAAATACCTACAAAGCACACCAACAATCAACATGTTTATCTGTCAGTAATTGTCTGATATTGACCTCATTTTCATGGTTCATTGATCAAAGATTACTTTTTCTTGTTTAGTTTGTTTTTTAGATGGTGAACTATATTTGGTTGATGGAATGATTGTAAGGTGTATATATTTGTCTGGTAGGTTTCATTTGACCTCAACCTTATTTTCATGGAACAAAATTAAATGAAAATATAACTCTAGACTTTTAAAACCATGTGGGCAAACTAAACAGGCATAATTTGCTGGTAGTTTCATTCGCATATATATTGCTTCTTTATATATGTTTTACAATACAGTAAACTTTTGCTCATTGAAGGTGGACTTCACAACACATCTGTTTGGTGACTTGAGATGATGATGTGTACATCTTTGTCTTTTAGGTCTCATTGGCAATCATACTGCTTATGAGCCACAATTCAATACAAGACTAAACAAATTGAAATTTTTTAAATCTTTATCTAATGCATAAGAGCTGAATTCAGTGTAACAACATCAAAATAAGTGTTTTCATAATTACAAACATAAACAAACAGAGTTACACAATAAATTAAGATATCTGAAAAATCATTTCAATGGCAAACTGTTCCTAGATAATTCAAGTCTGTTAGCATATTTATAACAGAATTAATTGTCACTATACATATACACTTGTATAGTGTCATGATTATATTTAAACCTTTTTGAAAGTTGAAATTTTAAGTTGAATTGTCTTTTATTTATTTCTGTACATAAAACTTAACAATAGAAAACAAAAATCTAAAAAGGCTGCATTTAAAGAAACTATATATAAAACCACAAGGAGAACATTATAACATATGCTAAAATATATACATGTACATCTAAAAAAACAATTGTAAAATATAACCTTTTATCATTGCGCTAAATACTTGTAACTTTTTTCACTTTTGAGATAAGCACTATTTACATATCAGACTTCAACTTGTAAAAACAGACGAAAAAAGCTTTTGTCTCAACACATAATATCATACATGTACATTGTATGTCATGCATGAAGGAACTATTTACCCACACATTGTAAATTTAACCAAAAATTTGCAAATAGGTTGTCTTCTAAAAACAATATATAACACATTTTTGTATACTAGCAAGAGCACTATTTACAAGATGTCTTCTCAAAACAATATATTACACATTTTTATAGACTAGCTAGAGCACTATTTACAAGATGTCTTCTCAAAACAATATATTACACATTTTTGTAGACAAGCAAGAACACTATTTACAAGATTGAAATTACAGTGTTGAAATAACCAAATGCGTGATATAAGAAAATAACCTTTAAACAAGATTTGACATTAGCACTATCTAAATGAACTTGAAATTGAATTGAAACTGTTTCAAGAATGTTATAAAGAAATTGCAAGAAGAGCTTTCTGTAGCACTACATATACGTACATGTATTATATACATGATCAAATTTACATAAACAACCAAATACATGTCACACAATTTTGTTTAAACATGACACCAAGTTGAATTAGCACTATTTACAGGATTAAAATCATATTGTAAAAAAAAACACTTTGTGGTCATTTACATGTAGATAGATTTTATCTTACAGCCACAGTATCAGATAGGCATTTTCACTGTTAATGAATCGCATAAAAAAAAACCATAAACAGAATACATAAAGAATAAAATGCTCCGCAGGGCGCAGCTTGATACGACCGCAGAGGTCGAACCCTGAACAGTTGGGGCAAGTATGGACACAACATTCAAGCTTGATACAGCTTTGCATTTGGATTGTGATTAAATATTTGACACAGCATAGGTTTCTGACACAGAATGAATGTGGTCTAAGAACTTAAAAATTTTAAATTGGACATTCACCTATTATGGTCCAATATCCAAAATCTAAATACATGGTTAGATTCAGCATATCAAAGAACCCCAAGAATTCAATTTTTGATGAAATCAAACAAAGTTAAATTTTGGACCCTTTTGACCTCAATGTGGACAAAGTTGATAACGGGGCCCAAAAATCAAAAATCTAAATACATGGTTAGATTCAGCATATCAAAGAACCCCATATATTCAATTTTTGTTGAAATCAAACAAAGTTTAATTTTGGACCCCGATTTGGACCAACTTGAAAACTGGGCCCATAATCAAAAATCTAAATACATATTTAGATTCAGCATATCAAAGAACCCTAAGAATTCAATTTTTGTTAAAATCAAACTAAGTTTAATTTAGGACCCTTTGGACCTTAATGTAGACCAATTTGAAAACGGAACCAAAAATTAAGAATCTAAATACACGGTTAGATTCGGCATATCAAAGAACCCCAATAATTCAATTTTTGATGAAATCAAACAAAGTTTAATTTTGGACCCTTTGGACCTCAATGTGGACCAATTTAAAAACGGGGCCCAAAATCCAAAAAACTTAATACACGGTTAGATTCAGCATATTAAAGAACCCCAAGAATTCAAGAATAAAACCCCATTGAAATTGGTCAAGAAATAAGCAATTTATACGAAGTATCTTCTTTTGCACAATACTGTGCAATTAAATATTTCTTGCTATTGCGCAATACTGTACAATTGACAATTTCTTGCTATTGCGCAATATTGTGCTATTGGATATTTCTTGCTATTGCGCAATACTGTGCAATTGAAGATTTCTTGCTATTGTGCAATACTGTGCAATTGAAGATTTCTTGCTATTGTGCAATACTGTGCGATTGAAAATTTCTTGCTATTGCACAATAATTTACACATCCTGTTTGGTGTGTATCTCCTACCATATCATTATTATTTGCTTTTAAATATAAATCAGAAATAACCAACTTAAAATGGAAAATTTTAAAAGGAAAAAAAAAGGAAAAAAAGAAAAAAAAGGAAAAAAAAAAAATCCCCCCCCCCCCAAATTTTTTGAACCCCCTTATGATTCATCACCCCCAAACTCAATCCCAGCCTTCCCTTTGTGGCATGGTACTTTGCATTACAATTTCAGAGAGATCCATACACTTGAACACAAGTTATTGTCTGGAAACTAGAAAAATGTGTTTTTTTCCCCTTTTTGGCCCCAAATTCCTAAACGTCTAGGGCAATTACCCCCAAACTCAAACCCAGCTTTCCCTTTGTGATATGGAACCTTGTAGTACAATTTCAGAAAGATCCATACACTTAAACACAAGTTATTGTCCTGAAACTAGAAAAATGCTTGTTTTTTGCCCCTTTTTGGCCCCTAATTCCTAAAATATTGAGGTAATTACCCCCATCATCAATCCCAGCCTTCCCTTTGTGGTATGGTACCTTGCAGTACAATTTCAGAGAGATCCATACACTTGAACACATGTTATTGTCTGGAAACTAGAAAAATGCTTATTTTTGGCCCCTTTTTGGCCCCCAATTCCTAAACGTTTCGGCAATTACCCCCAAACTCAATTCCAGCTTTCCCTTTCTGATATGGAATCTTGTAGTACAATTTCAGAAAGATCCATACACTTACACACAAGTTATTGTCATGAAACTAGAAAAATGCTTGTTTTTTGTCCCTTTTTTGTCCCCTAATTCCTAAAATTTTGAGGCAATTACCCCCAAAATCAATCCCAGCATTCCTTTTGTGATATGGAACCTTGTGGTACAATGTCAGAGAGATCCATACACTTACACACAAGTTATGTCTGGAAGTTACAAAAATGCTTATTTTTGGCCCCTTTTTGGCCCCTAATTCCTTTACTGTTGGTACCATAACCCCCAAAATCAATCCCAACCTTCCTTTTGTGGTATTAAACCTTGTGGTAAAATTTCATAGAGATCCATTCACTTAAACTAAAGTTAGAGTGCGAAAACCAATGTGTCTTAGGACGACGCCGGACGATGCCAGACGACGACGACGACGACGCCAACGTCATACCAATATACGACCACAAAAATTTTTTTGCGGTCGTATAAAAAGTGCTGCATGAATCTCTTTAAAACATGTTAAAGCACTACTACTGACTTTATCTATTGAACTGTGTGAACAGCAAACAAGTTTATTTTTCTAGAATTTTGGTACAACACAACTTATATTAGTCACCAAGATCATTTGCATTTGTTACGATACGCGTAGTGATCCAACTATGGTAATCACTTCTTAGCAAGTTATCAACAGCAGATTTATTTATATCTGGGAATGCTGAATGGTATCTTTCGGCTTCAAATTTAAATGGTCTCAATTTCCTTAGATCACCAATCATCATATGAAGCTCATCACCTGCAGCATCTTTATGTTTATGCTTCTTGCTTCTTACAATAACACCGGTAATACTGTCAAAATGTTCAGCAATATCTCTTACACCTGACAAAGCTTATGTTTAATGTGTTTTTTTATTGTTTTAACAACATATTCCATCTGCAGATCGGCCGGTATATGTCCATCAGGTTTTCCTGTTGTATTGACAAACATTCCTTGTACAACCTCTGCAGCTTCTTTCTCTGACAATGTGCTGATTTGTTGAATTAAAAATCGGTGTATTTCGAAAGCATACTTGCTATTGTTTGATTTTGCTTTAAAAACAGTCATGCTGTGCTTCAACAATCGCAACAATTTCTTCTGGTCAGGGGACTTGCAAACATCTAGCAATTCTTTGAATAGCAATCCCAGTTCTAGAACCATCTGACCATAGTTCATCACTTTATCTGTTTCAGGTGGTGTTTCTTTGTTCTTTTCTGGCAGTCGTGGACTTAAATGAACTTCTTTTCCATTAGCAAGCCGCACTTTCAAATTCATGAATTGTCCATCCACCACTGCAAAAAAAAATAAAATTATTTATTGATTTATTCACATCTTTCCTTTTCTCCATACTTTCTTTCTCTTTAAAGTGATATATTTATATACATGTTTGCTTGTAATGCTAGAGCCCAGTTCAATAGGATTATATATAATGTTCAACCAAACTGAAGTTAACAGTTTTAATTACAAGAATTAATTATATATATTTATTCATGCACATTGCTAATTGAGTCAAGGCTCCCTATTGAAGGCTGTAACGTTTATTTTTAATACTTTAGCTCTTGGATGGAGAAAGTTTTCTCATTGGCAATCATACCATTTTTCTCATTGGCAAATCATACCATTTTTCTCATTGGCAATCATATCATATCTTCTTATGTTTACATCTGACAATCATTGACAATGATCATGTTTAAAAAATTATGCACACATTTGTAAGAGTATTCCTAACCAATGCTAACATGTAGTCAAAATATATAAAAATTAAGAAAGTATTAATAATTTGAACAATGAGTATGATATGCTTATATTAAATTTTTAACTTGAAAGTATCAAATTTACATATTTACACTGCTGTTGAAAAAAGATGTGGTCATCAAAATATACATGTACCTTATTTCATGTATGGGTTCTATTAAATTTAGTCATACATGTACAAAGAAATAACTTACCAACAGATTCGTCAGCAACTTGATTTTTTGGTTTATGCTTGGGCCATACAAATTCATCAACCATCTTTCCAAAAGTGTCAACAGTCCATTGTTTCTTTTCTTCTTTGGTAGTGAATTCTGGTGGAATATTCTTTGTTGGCTGTGAAAGGTGGTCATCTAATCCAAATAAACAGCTGCGCCATGAGCACAGGATACGCCCGTCGTCTTGTGTGTGAATTTTTATGCAATAAGCATAAATAGTTTCTGACATACGGCGTGACATGCGAAAACCCCCCCTTTTTTTTTTTTACAAAAAACTCAATATCTCTAAAATAAAATTTTGAATCAAAACCAAAAAGTATACAGATCTTTAGATTAATATAACTAAGAAGTGTGTTAAATTTTAAGCAATAATCATAAATCGTTTTTGAGATATGGCGCGACATGTGAAAACACCCCTTTTAAAAAAAAAAATCAATATCTCAAAAAAAAAATTTTGAATCAAAACCAAAAAGTATACAGATCTTTAGATTAATATAACTAAGAAGTGTGTAAAATTTTAAGCAATAATCATAAATCATTTTTGAGATATGGCGCGACATGTGAAAAACCCCTCCCCCTTTTTTTACAAAATACTCAATAACTCAAAAATAAAATTTTGAATCATCACCAAAAAGTATACAGATCTTAAGATTAATATAACTAAGAAGTGTGTAAAGTTTTAAGCAATAATCATAAATTGTTTTTGAGATACGGTGCGACATGTGAAAAAAAACACACACCTGTTTTAGTTACTAAGTCCCGTAACTCAAAAAGTTTTAATCTTATTTTCACCAAAAAGTATACATATCGTTTGACCATCATAAGAAACAACTATCTTAAGTTTCATGAACTTTGGATGAGTCATTCTCAAGTTACGGTGCGACATGTTTACGCCGGACAGACAGACGGACGGACGGACGCCGGATATTTGTATAACATAATACGTCCCGTCAAAAATTTGACGGGCGTATAAAAACTCTGTCACAAGTTCCACAATGTACGCCTCGATGAAGGATAGTGCAAAGTCTTTGTCTGCATCATATGCATTTTTTACATCAGAGTTAACTTGAGTTCTCATTATCCGATTTATCTCACATTTCAGAGTTCCAATGTCACCTGCACTTTTGTCTTTATAAAGCAAATCAAAGAAAACTTGCAGAAAGTTCATCACAAGATGGAACATTTCAAAGGTGATTGGTCCTAAATGTCCAAAACAATGCTTTACATTTGCTTCTGCTGCCCTTAAAACTTTAGCGCCTGAATATCTCTCTCTCGTTAATTGGTCACCTCCTGTATGGATTTTGGTTTTATCTGTAAGTGTAACTCCAGCATCTTGGAAAGTTTTCTCAATTATATTTTCATGTTGTTCCATGATGTCCACAACATCAGCATAATATTGCTCATTTTTCAGCACAGTTTCTAAAGGAATTACTAAAGTTTTTTTATACTGTTCTTCATTAGTTTTGCTGGACTCATCAAACACATCATCAAGGATTTTGAAGAATGGAACATGTTTAATGGCTGCTTTCACAATATGTTTTGTATAGTCTAGTTGGATGTTTTTGTACTCTTCTTCATTTACTTTAAATCGTCAAGTTTAAGATCAGTCCATGCTGTCATTCATCAGAGCTACACTAGCAAAGGCGTGGTGTAATAATTTGGTTTTTCCAGAGCTTTCCTTTCTTTACTCTCGAATGCCAACTGCATAATTTACATTGTCACCAACTAAACGTAAACGTTTTCCTTCTTTCATAGCTGTTGACATCTGGTTTGTGTAGGTTTGTCCGATTTCTTGCAGTAAATTATGGGACTGTTCGTAGCTCATGCACAAGCCAAGGGGATGAAGACGGTCATAGATCTGAAATAATAATTTTATTTCAATAAATACATGTACATGTATACAGAAATTTCTTTCATTATCAGAATTTAAAAATGTTTGTTTTTCTTAATTTGCATCATTAGGACTGCAATATTAAATCTATTTATAAAATATACACCCAAATACAGATGTATTTACCAGTAATTTAATTAGCTTTCCCCTAAATAATGTTAAAACTTTGAAAATTAAAAGAGAGATGATGTACAGATCCTGAATGGGCATTCAAACTTATAACATGTATACTATTAGTCAAATGCAAATTCAAATAATATATATTTCATTTTAAATGAATCATTTACCATTGTAATGTGGTTGTCATTTTAGTTGAATGAAAATAAAATGTTATAAATTTTTTATTAATCATTAATTTGAATTTGATGTTGTTTTGCTATGAAAAAAAAATATGAATTCTTCTGCAAAGCACGAAAAGTGAGAGTGATACCACCTCTTGATGTACTATGTTTTATATTTCCTGAATCCTCCCTTATTCACCTTAATTGTAATCATGCATATTATATCTATATATATATATAGGAATTTGTAGTACACTATTATGCCACAACAAACATGTATAAGCTCATAAAAGCAAAGTTATATTTGTCAGCGGCAATACTTATACAAGTGATTATAGTTGTTGGTCATGTTGGTATAAATGTGTAGGCGACATTGTAAACTTGCTATAGATTTTTTTTATTAAAGTTTGTTTTATTTAAATCATTCTGTTAATGTTTAGTTAATTATAAGTGGAAGTACAATAAATTAGAAGATATTAAACAGACCAAGTATGAAACATGTTTTGACCTTCCAAAATTTGCAAATCATGCAGTACATATGCAGCACGTACATTTAATATAAAGAAAAAAAGTTTGTCAAAAGAAATACTAATTGTTGTTAATCCAAAAATTGATTTACATATACATTTTTTTGTACATGTACATGTACAAATGTATATACAGTAGTTACTTATAAAATGTATTCTGTAAATCTTAAATCCTTGTTTGGGATAAGTTTAAGGGAAAACATGTACATGTATCTCAGCATTCTGAATAAAATTATTTTATCTTCAGGTAAATAAACATGATATATATAAGTACATTGTATTGCCCTGGACTGTAGATATTATATAAACACAAAAGCCATCTAGGGAAAAATAGTAAGCACTAAGCTAGGATATATATGCTACATTATACACATACATGTACATATAAACTTATTATATAATTATACAATGTAGACTAAGCTAAAATAAACAGCTGCGCCATGAGCGCATGATACGCCCGTCGTCTTGTGTGTGAATTTTTATGCAATAAGCATAAATAGTTTCTGACATACGGCGTGACATGCGAAAAAAACCCTTTTTTTTTTACAAAAAACTCAATATCTCTAAAATAAAATTTTGAATCAAAACCAAAAAGTATACAGATCTTTAGATTAATATAACTAAGAAGTGTGTAAAATTTTAAGCAATAATCATAAATCGTTTTTGAGATACGGCGCAACATGTGAAAACACCCCTTTTAAAAAAAAAAAATCAATATCTCAAAAAAAAAATTTTGAATCAAAACCAAAAAGTATACAGATCTTTAGATTAATATAACTAAGAAGTGTGTAAAATTTTAAGCAATAATCATAAATCATTTTTGAGATATGGCGCGACGTGAAAAACCCCTCTCCCTTTTTTTACAAAATACTCAATAACTCAAAAATAAAATTTTGAATCATCACCAAAAAGTATACAGATCTTAAGGTTAATATAACTAAGAAGTGTGTAAAGTTATAAGCAATAATCATAAACTGTTTTTGAGATATGGCGCAACATGTGAAAAACCTCTCCCCCTTTTTTAACAAAATACTCAATAACTCAAAAATAAAATTTTGAATCATCACCAAAAAGTATACAGATCTTAAGATTAATATAACTAAGAAGTGTGTAAAGTTTTAAGCAATAATCATAAATTGTTTTTGAGATACGGCGCGACATGTGAAAAAAAAACACACACCTGTTTTAGTTACTAAGTCCCGTAACTCAAAAAGTTTTAATCTTATTTTCACCAAAAAGTATACAGATCGTTTGACCATCATAAGAAACAACTATGTTAAGTTTCATGAAATTTGGATGAGTCATTCTCAAGTTACGGTGCGACATGTTTACGCCGGACAGACAGACGGACAGACAGACGGACAGACGGACAGACAGACGGACGGACGCAGGACATTTGTATAACATAATACGTCCCGTCAAAAATTTGACGGGTTATAAAAATTAAAGTCTAAGTTCCCAATAGCCACAAAGAGAAATACATGAAATAGGAAGAAATAGCACTATTCTAAGAGAAAAATACACATAATACATTGATAAGACAGGTACACATTGTGATTGTCACAACAACAAACTATATTATACTTACATATTGTTTCTAAGTTCTATAGAAATAATAAACATATACATGATATAGGACCATAAAAAAAATACTCTTCTATTACTAAAATGTTTTTATGAAAAAAAATTTGTTGAAATTTTTTTGTGTGCAAATATGATGCAAACATGTTTAATAATGCCAGGTGGCCTAGCTTGGGGCTGTTTTATGCTATTTGGTCTGGTTGTTGTCTCTTTGACGCATTTCACATTAAGGCCCATTTCCATTTATTTCATATTTGTTTATACATACTATAGCCTGTAATTCATTGATTGCCCTTAGTTGCAGTAAATCATACTATAACTTTTAATTGAATTGTGCATTCCAGTACATAAATATTGAGTTAGAGAATGGATATAGCCATCGGCTTTAGCCTGCTATTCAAATTTCAATCCATTTCATTTTCTAATAAAATGTTTAAATTAATTAAATATCATGAATATGGGGTCATTATTTTTCTTGTTTAACTTTTACATCTATAGCTTATATTAGTATCATTTCTTTGCTTCTTACAAATGTATGCAGCAGTGCATCAAGTTAGTGCATTGTTGAAGGCCATAGTTGCTCCACTTGCTGTTATTTATTTATCAATATTTGTAAAAGAAGATAAAGAAAACTGCTGTCAGCTGAAAAAAATGATAATTATAATTATATAAATACAAGTGTGAAAATATGAAGACATGAATAATTTACCTTTTGATCAGCAATGTTGTCAAGCAAACACAGTGATGTCATACGTTGAACCAAACTCAACTTCTGGTGATGTGTCTGTGCAAGAATTGCATATATCATTCCTATGTGAGGCACAACTTTCTTTTGATGTATATTTAGTGTCAATTCAATCATTTTTGACAATACTGGCAGTTTGTCTTTAAATTCTTAACAAATATTATCCCAAGAAAATACTGACATGTCACTGTATGATTTCTTCATTAGTTGACTAATAAATCCATGCTTATGATTGTTCATGGATTTCAATGTATCTGAACTTTCCTTTGCATGATACTTGATGGAATAGTCAACAAAATGCTGGTTTTTTAGAAGCACATCTGCTATATGACTGATATAACCTCCTGAATTCAACAAGTGGAGAATATTGTTCTTTTCAGACTGAGACAAAACAGGCTTGGCTTTTGGACATGTTTTCACTGATTGCTTTACTAAAGGTGTTGATGTTTTTTGAACCTACAAAATAATAATGATATCAATTCTATTTCAAAATAAAATATCTTATTATTAATATTAGTGATTTCAAAATATACTACATGTATATTTTATACGAGACAGCTGGAATGATATAGCATCATACATTTTAGGTACATAATTGTACATAGTACAGTATAAACTTAATATATTGACTGTTCCCAGGTATACATGTACATGTAACAGTGCAATATTGGAAACATTTTTTTGGTATATTTATACATGTATATATAAACATGATTAATGCGGGATTACATTTTTGGAATTATCATATACATGTATACATTTTGTACATGTGCATGTAGAGTGGGTGGCGCATATTCGCCGTGGACACATTTTCGCAGTTTTTGCAATTTTTTCTGTACATTTCGTGTGCTTTTACCCAAGATTCTAAATGCTGTTTATAATGTGCGAACTGTTGATATTCCTTTTTACCCCATTTCCAATGTTATTCTCACATATAAAGAAATATGCAGGTGTTTTTGAACGATTTTGGCAATTATGTAAGATTTATATGGCATGCATGCGCAGTCATAAAGTAAATATTTGCTAGGAAAATCGTATAGGAATGATCTCACAAGCTAATTCATGTAATTGCAAACAATTGTTTTTATAATATACAAGGATAATGAGGATGGTCATATCATACATTGCGGCGAAAATGTGTCCCCCGTGGTACAAGAACAACTTGATTTCCTCTTGAGTTTGCGTTCATTTTAAAACATTTAAACAATATTTTGAAGAGAATTCCTTTATCAAACATTTTTTTCATATAGTAAACTTTCTGAAACCTACATAAAAAGTTTAAAATATTCAAATGTAGGTTGGATGTAGGTGGAAATGAATGAATTTTGCGGCGAATATGCGTCACCCACTCTACAACAAAATGAGTCTTAACTGGTCCTTTAAAAAAAGATATCTAGAAATGTGATTTGAGAACATACATGTACGTCCTCTTTTAAACATGTTAAATATTCATCTAAGAATAATATACATTCATGATTGACATATATTGACCTATAATTGTTAACTTTAAATACATTGTGACTTGGATGGAGAGTTGTCTCATTGGCACTCATACCACATCTTCTTATTTATATGTATATAAATGTATATATAACATGAATAATATGTGAACAAAATTAGATTAGTTTTATTTCTACTGAGATGCGGATGTGCAAATGTGCCAACTATTCATGCACATGTTAAAAAATTATGTACAAAATAACATGGACATAATAATTACCTTGACATCATCATTCTTTAGAGGCTTGCTGTAGCTATGTTCTGTTGAATTGTCGTTAAACCCACTATCATTTAACGATCTCTTCACTTGTTTAGGTTTAGGGAAACACTCTGATTTTACTACTGTATTTATTGATGGAGACGGTACTGGTGTCATTGGCAAAATTGGTATTGATGTTGATATTGAATTGTTCATTAATGTATTGGTGACATGAAAATTCCACTGTCTGACATCATTGGACTTAAAAAAGTAATGTTATTTGTTACATCTTTCAAGGGTAATGTATTTAGGCATCTCTTAATTCCATGTTTTGATGTCTTGCATTTATGTCTGAAATCAATAATTAGCTGGTCTATCTTCAAAAGTTTCATTCTACACATTACCCCTTCTAATACATTCAGCTCACCATATTTTAACAAAAGTTCTGAAACGTTTTTACCAGATCGGTTTTTCCCGGCGACATTTCTTTTTTCTCTTGGCTTTTCTCCACAAACACAACACACGGCGGACGATTTTCTTGGTGTTTCAAAGTCCGAGTTCTCGGCCAGGATGCCAGGCTAAGGTAGCAATACACAGTTAGAAGTTTAGTTTCGCATTATGGCCATGGTGAATTTTTTAAATATGAAAGTTTTTGTACAATAAAATTGATTTTTAGATAGTTGAAGAATAATATAGCCTTCCAAGTGGCGTTATATGATCATTTAGATTGTTTTTAGCATGTTTTATAGGCCTTTTTTGTGTTTGATAGTCCATATTTTCCTATCCGAACCGCCCTAGATCTAGAAATTATTGTAGTATTTTTCAAGGTTGAGGCTTTTTGGTAGCACGGTAGTATTTGCATTCCAGAATTTAGGTTGTTACTTTCTTAAACTGAGGGATGAATCAGGTGTAGAAAAATATGAAATAATTTTACATACAGATGAAAATGAATTTTTGAGAATTTTTTTAAATTTTGTATTCACTGCACGATAAAAGACCTAAAAGCACTAGTGGCCTTAGGTTCTTAAAGATAGCAAAAAAAGTAAACGGTCATGATACATATATTCAAATTCATTTCTGAATAGTAAAATGAAAGTACTTCAAATAACTGTGAATGTAGAATTTTTAGCAGTGTTAAAAAGTGGTGAAAATTCTAAAAAGGCTATCATTATCCCTTATGGACCAGGAAATACTACCGTGCCACCTTTTTCCACCGGCTAGGATGAGGTATGCATGTAACGTATTTTGTATGAACGGATCGGATAAGGAGTCTTCTCTTCTTTGGTATATGGATACGATAATTTACACGGGTTGTACCGGAAGCGACTGCCATGCAAGAAAGAAACAAGTAGAAATGTTTGTTTCCGATTATTATAAAGTGACAGAAAGTATTGATTTACACGAAAACAGCAACACTTCTGCCTTTGTAAGTCAGCGATCTGAAAACAAACGCAGATATAGCTCTAAAACTTTTCCAAGTGGTAAGTTTACGTACATCTAAAAAGTTAAATAATGCGACCATCTATCATACACCTAATCGCTATTTATTCCATTCCGGATAAGTTCTAAAATTACACAACTTTTTCATCCAGTTGACTAAACTGGACCCCTGCTGTTGTTTCAATCTTATCTACACAAACAGATCAGGAGCTGCCACACCATCCAATAGATTCGAACATTTATCTCCAATAACTTTCGAATTGTTTCACATGCAAATGAACTATGTAAAATTGATGTTCAAACGTTTGTATAGTGAAGAAGGACTGCAGGAACAAGGCACCCTAAAATGTGAAGCAAATAGGGTTCTAAGAACGAGTTTGAACCCAAATGTTAATGAGCATTTTGATGCAGATAAGGACTTTATTGTGTTATTCACAGATGCATATATTGTTGAGGCCATTACCCATTTTTTTGATATGGAAAGTGTGTTTTCTGCACCAAGAAAAAATGTATTACCTGACAATGTTTGTACAGAGGACCAAAAGAAGGAATGGGTGATGGATATGTTCCAAAAAATTGTTGAAATCTATGTGTGGGATAAAGAGAACAAACAAAACCAAGAGGATAATGTTGAAGGTATGTTAAATCATTAATATACATAAAAACATGAAAAAGTTTACAGAAATCGAGAAATGGAGTTTGTTTCCTTACTTCTTAATTTGAGCATTTAAGGTTTTATTTGAAGTCTTGAAATCAGTGGTACATTATATATTTTGTAGCTTCTTATAGTGAAATTCTGATATAATTTTAATATTTAATTGATCAGTAAACAAAATGGGCAAAAGGTTAACATGGTTAATACAGGAACAAATATTTTAAGAAATTAAAAAAAAATAATTGAATGTTGAATAAAAACAATATTCTGAATAGGAATTATGATTTATTAAAATCAATTTATCATGTTTATTCTCATTCAATTGCAATTTTGTGAAGATAATAAAAACTCAAAATAGGAAGAGAAAAAAAAAATTCAATGTAAATTGATTATTTTACACTTTTTATAATTTGGATAAATGTATAACATTGTGTATATGATTGTTATAAATCTAATATGAGAATTTGTGTCAAATAGGTGAACATGCCCCTTTAATAAATTTCAAATGTATTTTACAAATAATTTTATCATTTCAGTTGATGGTGTTGTCATTCCAATTCAACTAAGTAATGGAAAGAGACGGTCCTATGTAATTAAAAAGGCACAGAAATCACAAACACCACAAGAAGACGAAAGTGAAAAATTATGGACATTTATGTCTTGAACTTGGGTTACAGTTCAAGGCAATACTGGATCTTTGCAAACTGCCAGATAGGGATCGTGGTCTACGACTATTGAAAGTTTGCATGATACATTTCAAGGCAAACAACAACTTGTCCAAGTATGCCTATGAAATTTTAAGATTATTGGTTCATCAGTTGTGCATATTGTCAGAGCAGGAGGCACATGAAGAGTTTTATGGACTCTTCGTGAACACTAAAGGGAAAATAGACAGCCATATACCATGTGATTTACAAATGGAATACATTGTGAAGTCCGTAAAACGTAACATTAAACACATGTTTTCAAATAAGACCGATAAAAACATAACGACAAGAACAAGTGCTCTTCCAGCAATAAAGGATATAGCTGAAAATTTTGACAAAACTTCAGGAGTAATCATCCGTTGTAAAAAACATTCCAACATTGATGCCATCAAGGATGAATTGGACATAATATTCGACCTGCAAAATGTAAATCCTTTCACTTTTACAGCAGGCAGATCTCATGACTCATTTAAAACAATATCTAGTAGAATGGACAAGCTCTTGGATGTGCATCATTTTCATTCTTGGATAGAAAGCAATGTATACAAACATGCTACTGAACTCGGAAATTAATTCTCTACTCATCATGCTTACTTTAACATTTTTATACGACTGCAAAATCGTATATTGGTATGATGTTGGCGTCGTCGTCCGAAGACACATTGGTTTTTGCACTCTAACTTTAGTTTAAGTGAATGGATCTCTATGAAATTTTACCATAAGGTTCAATACCACAAAAGGAAGGTGGGGATTGATTTTGGGGGTTATGGTACCAACAGTTAAGGAGTTAGGGGCCAAAAATAAGCATTTTTGCAACTTCCAGACATAACTTGTGTGTTAGTGTATGGATCTCTCTGACATTGTACCACAAGGTTCCATGTCACAAAGGGAATGCTGGGATTGATTTTGGGGGTAATTGCCTCAAAATGTTAGGAATTAGGGGGCAAAAAGGGGCAAAAAAACAAGCTACATTATACACATACATGTACATATAAACTTATTATATAATTATACAATGTAGACTAAGCTAAAATAAACAGCTGCGCCATGAGCGCATGATACGCCCGTCGTCTTGTGTGTGAATTTTTATGCAATAAGCATAAATAGTTTCTGACATACGGCGTGACATGCGAAAAAAACCCTTTTTTTTTTACAAAAAACTCAATATCTCTAAAATAAAATTTTGAATCAAAACCAAAAAGTATACAGATCTTTAGATTAATATAACTAAGAAGTGTGTAAAATTTTAAGCAATAATCATAAATCGTTTTTGAGATACGGCGCAACATGTGAAAACACCCCTTTTAAAAAAAAAAAATCAATATCTCAAAAAAAAAATTTTGAATCAAAACCAAAAAGTATACAGATCTTTAGATTAATATAACTAAGAAGTGTGTAAAATTTTAAGCAATAATCATAAATCATTTTTGAGATATGGCGCGACGTGAAAAACCCCTCTCCCTTTTTTTACAAAATACTCAATAACTCAAAAATAAAATTTTGAATCATCACCAAAAAGTATACAGATCTTAAGGTTAATATAACTAAGAAGTGTGTAAAGTTATAAGCAATAATCATAAACTGTTTTTGAGATATGGCGCAACATGTGAAAAACCTCTCCCCCTTTTTTAACAAAATACTCAATAACTCAAAAATAAAATTTTGAATCATCACCAAAAAGTATACAGATCTTAAGATTAATATAACTAAGAAGTGTGTAAAGTTTTAAGCAATAATCATAAATTGTTTTTGAGATACGGCGCGACATGTGAAAAAAAAACACACACCTGTTTTAGTTACTAAGTCCCGTAACTCAAAAAGTTTTAATCTTATTTTCACCAAAAAGTATACAGATCGTTTGACCATCATAAGAAACAACTATGTTAAGTTTCATGAAATTTGGATAAGTCATTCTCAAGTTACGGTGCGACATGTTTACGCCGGACAGACAGACGGACAGACAGACGGACAGACGGACAGACAGACGGACGGACGCAGGACATTTGTATAACATAATACGTCCCGTCAAAAATTTGACGGGCGTATAAAAATTAAAGTCTAAGTTCCCAATAGCCACAAAGAGAAATACATGAAATAGGAAGAAATAGCACTATTCTAAGAGAAAAATACACATAATACATTGATAAGACAGGTACACATTGTGATTGTCACAACAACAAACTATATTATACTTACATATTGTTTCTAAGTTCTATAGAAATAATAAACATATACATGATATAGGACCATAAAAAAAATACTCTTCTATTACTAAAATGTTTTTATGAAAAAAAATTTGTTGAAATTTTTTTGTGTGCAAATATGATGCAAACATGTTTAATAATGCCAGGTGGCCTAGCTTGGGGCTGTTTTATGCTATTTGGTCTGGTTGTTGTCTCTTTGACGCATTTCACATTAAGGCCCATTTCCATTTATTTCATATTTGTTTATACATACTATAGCCTGTAATTCATTGATTGCCCTTAGTTGCAGTAAATCATACTATAACTTTTAATTGAATTGTGCATTCCAGTACATAAATATTGAGTTAGAGAATGGATATAGCCATCGGCTTTAGCCTGCTATTCAAATTTCAATCCATTTCATTTTCTAATAAAATGTTTAAATTAATTAAATATCATGAATATGGGGTCATTATTTTTCTTGTTTAACTTTTACATCTATAGCTTATATTAGTATCATTTCTTTGCTTCTTACAAATGTATGCAGCAGTGCATCAAGTTAGTGCATTGTTGAAGGCCATAGTTGCTCCACTTGCTGTTATTTATATATCAATATTTGTAAAAGAAGATAAAGAAAACTGCTGTCAGCTGAAAAAAATGATAATTATAATTATATAAATACAAGTGTGAAAATATGAAGACATGAATAATTTACCTTTTGATCAGCAATGTTGTCAAGCAAACACAGTGATGTCATACGTTGAACCAAACTCAACTTCTGGTGATGTGTCTGTGCAAGAATTGCATATATCATTCCTATGTGAGGCACAACTTTCTTTTGATGTATATTTAGTGTCAATTCAATCATTTTTGACAATACTGGCAGTTTGTCTTTAAATTCTTAACAAATATTATCCCAAGAAAATACTGCATGTATATTTTATACGAGACAGCTGGAATGATATAGCATCATACATTTTAGGTACATAATTGTACATAGTACAGTATAAACTTAATATATTGACTGTTCCCAGGTATACATGTACATGTAACAGTGCAATATTGGAAACATTTTTTTGGTATATTTATACATGTATATATAAACATGATTAATGCGGGATTACATTTTTGGAATTATCATATACATGTATACATTTTGTACATGTGCATGTAGAGTGGGTGGCGCATATTCGCCGTGGACACATTTTCGCAGTTTTTGCAATTTTTTCTGTACATTTCGTGTGCTTTTACCCAAGATTCTAAATGCTGTTTATAATGTGCGAACTGTTGATATTCCTTTTTACCCCATTTCCAATGTTATTCTCACATATAAAGAAATATGCAGGTGTTTTTGAACGATTTTGGCAATTATGTAAGATTTATATGGCATGCATGCGCAGTCATAAAGTAAATATTTGCTAGGAAAATCGTATAGGAATGATCTCACAAGCTAATTCATGTAATTGCAAACAATTGTTTTTATAATATACAAGGATAATGAGGATGGTCATATCATACATTGCGGCGAAAATGTGTCCCCCGTGGTACAAGAACAACTTGATTTCCTCTTGAGTTTGCGTTCATTTTAAAACATTTAAACAATATTTTGAAGAGAATTCCTTTATCAAACATTTTTTTCATATAGTAAACTTTCTGAAACCTACATAAAAAGTTTAAAATATTCAAATGTAGGTTGGATGTAGGTGGAAATGAATGAATTTTGCGGCGAATATGCGTCACCCACTCTACAACAAAATGAGTCTTAACTGGTCCTTTAAAAAAAGATATCTAGAAATGTGATTTGAGAACATACATGTACGTCCTCTTTTAAACATGTTAAATATTCATCTAAGAATAATATACATTCATGATTGACATATATTGACCTATAATTGTTAACTTTAAATACATTGTGACTTGGATGGAGAGTTGTCTCATTGGCACTCATACCACATCTTCTTATTTATATGTATATAAATGTATATATAACATGAATAATATGTGAACAAAATTAGATTAGTTTTATTTCTACTGAGATGCGGATGTGCAAATGTGCCAACTATTCATGCACATGTTAAAAAATTATGTACAAAATAACATGGACATAATAATTACCTTGACATCATCATTCTTTAGAGGCTTGCTGTAGCTATGTTCTGTTGAATTGTCGTTAAACCCACTATCATTTAACGATCTCTTCACTTGTTTAGGTTTAGGGAAACACTCTGATTTTACTACTGTATTTATTGATGGAGACGGTACTGGTGTCATTGGCAAAATTGGTATTGATGTTGATATTGAATTGTTCATTAATGTATTGGTGACATGAAAATTCCACTGTCTGACATCATTGGACTTAAAAAAGTAATGTTATTTGTTACATCTTTCAAGGGTAATGTATTTAGGCATCTCTTAATTCCATGTTTTGATGTCTTGCATTTATGTCTGAAATCAATAATTAGCTGGTCTATCTTCAAAAGTTTCATTCTACACATTACCCCTTCTAATACATTCAGCTCACCATATTTTAACAAAAGTTCTGAAACGTTTTTACCAGATCGGTTTTTCCCGGCGACATTTCTTTTTTCTCTTGGCTTTTCTCCACAAACACAACACACGGCGGACGATTTTCTTGGTGTTTCAAAGTCCGAGTTCTCGGCCAGGATGCCAGGCTAAGGTAGCAATACACAGTTAGAAGTTTAGTTTCGCATTATGGCCATGGTGAATTTTTTAAATATGAAAGTTTTTGTACAATAAAATTGATTTTTAGATAGTTGAAGAATAATATAGCCTTCCAAGTGGCGTTATATGATCATTTAGATTGTTTTTAGCATGTTTTATAGGCCTTTTTTGTGTTTGATAGTCCATATTTTCCTATCCGAACCGCCCTAGATCTAGAAATTATTGTAGTATTTTTCAAGGTTGAGGCTTTTTGGTAGCACGGTAGTATTTGCATTCCAGAATTTAGGTTGTTACTTTCTTAAACTGAGGGATGAATCAGGTGTAGAAAAATATGAAATAATTTTACATACAGATGAAAATGAATTTTTGAGAATTTTTTTAAATTTTGTATTCACTGCACGATAAAAGACCTAAAAGCACTAGTGGCCTTAGGTTCTTAAAGATAGCAAAAAAAGTAAACGGTCATGATACATATATTCAAATTCATTTCTGAATAGTAAAATGAAAGTACTTCAAATAACTGTGAATGTAGAATTTTTAGCAGTGTTAAAAAGTGGTGAAAATTCTAAAAAGGCTATCATTATCCCTTATGGACCAGGAAATACTACCGTGCCACCTTTTTCCACCGGCTAGGATGAGGTATGCATGTAACGTATTTTGTATGAACGGATCGGATAAGGAGTCTTCTCTTCTTTGGTATATGGATACGATAATTTACACGGGTTGTACCGGAAGCGACTGCCATGCAAGAAAGAAACAAGTAGAAATGTTTGTTTCCGATTATTATAAAGTGACAGAAAGTATTGATTTACACGAAAACAGCAACACTTCTGCCTTTGTAAGTCAGCGATCTGAAAACAAACGCAGATATAGCTCTAAAACTTTTCCAAGTGGTAAGTTTACGTACATCTAAAAAGTTAAATAATGCGACCATCTATCATACACCTAATCGCTATTTATTCCATTCCGGATAAGTTCTAAAATTACACAACTTTTTCATCCAGTTGACTAAACTGGACCCCTGCTGTTGTTTCAATCTTATCTACACAAACAGATCAGGAGCTGCCACACCATCCAATAGATTCGAACATTTATCTCCAATAACTTTCGAATTGTTTCACATGCAAATGAACTATGTAAAATTGATGTTCAAACGTTTGTATAGTGAAGAAGGACTGCAGGAACAAGGCACCCTAAAATGTGAAGCAAATAGGGTTCTAAGAACGAGTTTGAACCCAAATGTTAATGAGCATTTTGATGCAGATAAGGACTTTATTGTGTTATTCACAGATGCATATATTGTTGAGGCCATTACCCATTTTTTTGATATGGAAAGTGTGTTTTCTGCACCAAGAAAAAATGTATTACCTGACAATGTTTGTACAGAGGACCAAAAGAAGGAATGGGTGATGGATATGTTCCAAAAAATTGTTGAAATCTATGTGTGGGATAAAGAGAACAAACAAAACCAAGAGGATAATGTTGAAGGTATGTTAAATCATTAATATACATAAAAACATGAAAAAGTTTACAGAAATCGAGAAATGGAGTTTGTTTCCTTACTTCTTAATTTGAGCATTTAAGGTTTTATTTGAAGTCTTGAAATCAGTGGTACATTATATATTTTGTAGCTTCTTATAGTGAAATTCTGATATAATTTTAATATTTAATTGATCAGTAAACAAAATGGGCAAAAGGTTAACATGGTTAATACAGGAACAAATATTTTAAGAAATTAAAAAAAAATAATTGAATGTTGAATAAAAACAATATTCTGAATAGGAATTATGATTTATTAAAATCAATTTATCATGTTTATTCTCATTCAATTGCAATTTTGTGAAGATAATAAAAACTCAAAATAGGAAGAGAAAAAAAAAATTCAATGTAAATTGATTATTTTACACTTTTTATAATTTGGATAAATGTATAACATTGTGTATATGATTGTTATAAATCTAATATGAGAATTTGTGTCAAATAGGTGAACATGCCCCTTTAATAAATTTCAAATGTATTTTACAAATAATTTTATCATTTCAGTTGATGGTGTTGTCATTCCAATTCAACTAAGTAATGGAAAGAGACGGTCCTATGTAATTAAAAAGGCACAGAAATCACAAACACCACAAGAAGACGAAAGTGAAAAATTATGGACATTTATGTCTTGAACTTGGGTTACAGTTCAAGGCAATACTGGATCTTTGCAAACTGCCAGATAGGGATCGTGGTCTACGACTATTGAAAGTTTGCATGATACATTTCAAGGCAAACAACAACTTGTCCAAGTATGCCTATGAAATTTTAAGATTATTGGTTCATCAGTTGTGCATATTGTCAGAGCAGGAGGCACATGAAGAGTTTTATGGACTCTTCGTGAACACTAAAGGGAAAATAGACAGCCATATACCATGTGATTTACAAATGGAATACATTGTGAAGTCCGTAAAACGTAACATTAAACACATGTTTTCAAATAAGACCGATAAAAACATAACGACAAGAACAAGTGCTCTTCCAGCAATAAAGGATATAGCTGAAAATTTTGACAAAACTTCAGGAGTAATCATCCGTTGTAAAAAACATTCCAACATTGATGCCATCAAGGATGAATTGGACATAATATTCGACCTGCAAAATGTAAATCCTTTCACTTTTACAGCAGGCAGATCTCATGACTCATTTAAAACAATATCTAGTAGAATGGACAAGCTCTTGGATGTGCATCATTTTCATTCTTGGATAGAAAGCAATGTATACAAACATGCTACTGAACTCGGAAATTAATTCTCTACTCATCATGCTTACTTTAACATTTTTATACGACTGCAAAATCGTATATTGGTATGATGTTGGCGTCGTCGTCCGAAGACACATTGGTTTTTGCACTCTAACTTTAGTTTAAGTGAATGGATCTCTATGAAATTTTACCATAAGGTTCAATACCACAAAAGGAAGGTGGGGATTGATTTTGGGGGTTATGGTACCAACAGTTAAGGAGTTAGGGGCCAAAAATAAGCATTTTTGCAACTTCCAGACATAACTTGTGTGTTAGTGTATGGATCTCTCTGACATTGTACCACAAGGTTCCATGTCACAAAGGGAATGCTGGGATTGATTTTGGGGGTAATTGCCTCAAAATGTTAGGAATTAGGGGGCAAAAAGGGGCAAAAAAACAAGCATTTTTCTAGTTTCATGACAATAACTTGTGTGTAAGTGTATGGATCTCTCTGACATTGTACCAGAAGGTTCCATATCACAAAGGGAATGCTGGGATTGATTTTGGGGGTAATTGCTTCCAAATTTTTGAAATTAGGGGCCAAAAAGGGGCAAAAAACAAGCATTTTTCTAGTCTCATGTCAATAACTTGTGTGTAAGTGTATGGATCTTTATGAAATTTTACTACAAGGTTCCATATCATAAAGGGAAAGCTGGAATTGAGTTCGGGGTAATTGCCCAAAACGTTTAGGAATAAGGGGCCAAAAATAAGCATTTTTCTAGTTTCCAGACAATAACTTGTGTTCAAGTGTATGGATCTCTCTGAAATTGTACTGCAAGGTGCCATACCACAAAGGGAAGGCTGGGATTGATTTTGGGGGTAATTGCCTCAAAATGTTAGGAATTAGGGGCCATAAAAGGGCAAAAAAACAAGCATTTTTCTAGTTTCAGGACACTAACTTTTGTGTAAGTGTATGGATCTTTATGAAATTGTACTGCAAGGTTCCATATCACAAAGAAAAAGATGGGTTTGAGTTTGGGGGTAATTGCCCTAAACGTTGAGGAATTTGGGGCCAAAAAACAAGCATTTTTCTAGTTTCCAGACAATAACTTGTGTTCAAGTGTATGGATCTCTCTGAAATTGTACTGCAAGGTACCATACCACAAAGGGAAGGCTGGGATTGAGTTTGGGGGTGATGAATCATAAGGGGGTTCAAAAAAATAAGGGGGGGGGGTTTCCTTTTTTTTTCTTTAAAATTTTCCATTTTAAATTAGTTATTTCTGATTTATATATAAAAGCAAATAATAATGATATGGTTTGAATAGGTAAATTAAAAAATTTTAAGTTCTTAGACCACATTCATTCTGTATCAGAAACCTATGCTGTGTCAAATATTTAATTACAATCCAAATTCAGTGCTGTATGAAGCTTGAATGTTGTGTCCATACTTGACCTCTGCGGTCGTATCAAGCTGCATCCCAGTGGAGCATTTTATTTAATGTGTTACCAATATGCATGTAATGTATATATATATATATATATATAGATATAAAGAATCGATCTATATGTTTTTTAAAATGTGATAAAATTTGTTTTGTTTATCCAAGATCCTCTCTTTTTCAAATCATTTTTTTCTAAAAAGTTATCTTAATAAATAAGGTTTATTCCTCAGTGTGGTGTTTGGGGGCATGTTTCCGCACTGCAGCTATATATATATGCTATACTTTCAATTACAATTCAAATATTTTTTTTGGCTCCTATATTTGTATGGAATAAAGATCAAGACATCGCGGCATCACTTTCAAAGTCTTTAAACATGCATTTTACATTGTATGACACAAGATTCATAAGAATAAACTTAAGTCACATTGATAGCATTTGGTTGACTTTGTATATTTTGGTTAGGTTGATGTCTCTTTGACACATTCCCCAGTTCCATTCTTTATACTATGACTTGACCTTTCCTTTTTAAATGCAGAAAAGATACTTTTGATCACCTTAACGGTTTTTTTTGCCCAGCATTAGTGCATGAATTAAAAAAGTACCAATCAATTTGGTTAAGCCTAAAACCATATCTATACAACTGCTGGTCTGCAAAAATACAATAATAAATAATGATGATTAATTAAGATTTTAATAATATGAATTGTTTAGCACAATACTTTGAACAATGATTGAAATGTTTTCTGCAATTTCTGGACCAATTTTAGGATATTGTTCTAGTATAATGGTACCAGAAAGGTAGGCTTGATAGTTCTCAGATATCAAATTTGCAAGCTCTTTGGTGAGACCTGTATAAATTGCTGCATTTGGCATGTTAAGACATTCGTTTTCTGATTCAAAATAGTCGATAACAGTTGCTAATATTGAACTTTTTAAACCAACATCAGTAGCAGATTGTGGCACATCAATGATATTGTCTGTTTGTTCCATTTCACTTGGAATTTCACTTTTTGTTTCAGAACACTGATTACATGTGCATTCCATTTCACATAAATCACAACATTCATGCTTGAAATTCATTTCACTGAATTCACAACCAAAATGTTCACATAAATAGGCACGTCGACAAGTTTTTGAATTGCAATAATCTCTCATTCCATCTGTCATACCAGGAACAGCTTGTGAAATATCAGATTTGTTATAGTACAAAATAGCTGTTGATGATTTACCATCTCTTCCAGCTCTGCCTATTTCTTGTATGTATACTGAAATGAAAATAAATTAACATGTTAATTGTTATCTATCATTGTTTATGTTTGCATACATGTAAAAACACATGTATAACATACATGTACATATATATAGGTTAATTTAAATTAAGAACATTCCAAATTTTGAAACGTTATCAAGGGTTTTTACTGGTAGATTTTTGTATAAAACGATAAATTTATACAAAACTTGATAAATGGACATTCCAATACTGTATTACAGTATTTAACTTGTTTTTTTGTGTGTGTATAAATTGATGAATTTAATTGTACATATGTATAGACATTGTATATATATATATATATGCATATTATTTATTGCTTTTTTTGTACCACTGAATTATGATGTTTTGAAATACATTCATGTATATATATTAAAAAACTATAATATGCAAGTAACTTGTCTGTTTGTTTTCATTTTTATCGTAAACTTGTCAAGTGTACAGGTCGAAAATGAGTCTTTTTTTTTTGTTCGGTGTGATATCTGAAAGCATATAGTTAGAGGACAAAATCCAATTTTCAATGAAATTCATCTCGAGTGATCAGTGAAATTTTATATCTTATTATAGACTACTTAATTTGCAATTGTATTTGAAACATATACTTTCTAGTGTTTTTGGAACTCCAGCATGAATAACCCTTCTAACATTTGGTGAATCTGTACCCATACTAAATGCTTCCGTTGCAAAAAGCAGTTTAAGGTCACTTCCAGGACTTGCCATGTCACTCAAAACTTTGCTCTTCATCTAGAAAATTGAAAAAATAGAAATATTTGAAAATTTATCATACTTTAATAACACAAAAAAAAATTATGGGTACATGTACATTGTCAGACCGATGCAATATACCTGTATTTACAATATAAAAACAAAAAAAATAGTATGATTGCTGAAGTGACAACTCTTAATCTCAGACTAAATGAGTAACAGTACTGTAACATGTTTGTTGTAAATGATCTGGTTCAGTTTCAAAATTGTTGATGGTGTGGTACATCATACAGACAGGCTTGACAGAGCTGTCGTTCATTTTAAATCTCAATGTACATGGAAGTATATATATATATATAGCTATATAGAATTATACTGTTACGGTTCGGCTTTGAAAGTAATTTTGATTTGTCATATTTGATTTAAAATCTCGTTTTAAAATTAATGGTGTGATACAGTGGATGACTGGACAGACCCAGCTGAACATACATGTACATGCATAAATGGAGCCTGGAAAAGAAATATATTTTTAGCAATTTAAATGTTTTATAATTTCTTATTTTGATGATATGGGACAGAAACCTTTAATTTCTTTTGAATTTGAATAGTTTCTTTAATGACACCAAAGAAAGTTATAAGACATTTACCTCTGATGTACATGGGCTGTGAAACTGGGCAACACATTTCTCAATATTGTCCTCTTTGTCTCCATTTTTCAATGGCCTGACCACTTCCTCATAACCATAGCCACACCAATTTATTTTCGAATAAACTATTGTCCTTTCAAAACTTGACTTGTCTGCCCGTAGTTCATCAACTAATGGTTGATAGATAAAATCATATGATTCCTGGACAGTGTTTTTTCCACCACATCCAGCTGGTCTTTTGACCAATGTCAATTTTATGTTTGGTCGGTCCATTGATGATTGGACAGTCAATGCGCTCTTCATTCCAAGCTGTTTTCTTATTTCATTTTGCATTTTGGTTGTAGCAGTTGCAGTCAAAGCCAACATTCTTGCATTTGGAAACATTGACCTCAGTTTTACAAGTTCAGTGAATTTTTCCCTGAATCCATGACCCCATTGAACTACACAGTGTGCTTCATCCACAACTATATGTGAGATTTTACTCTGCCATTTCTCTGACTTAAAAAGTCCAAACACGGCTTTATCAATAAATTGTTCTGGGTGACCCAAGATGTATGAAAAATTGCAACTTTTCAATTTTTCAATGTCAGCTTGACAGTCCTCAGATAATACACCAGTTTTTAAGCAACGTACAATATCTGAGTTCAAATGTACAGCTTTATCTCCATAGCGTACTAACTGTTCCTCTATGATAGAATTCAGCGGAGAAATTACCAGAATAGATGAATTTCTGAAATACGGCAGTGTCTCAAATATTAATGATTTTCCATATCCTGTTGGTAGAACGGCTAATGTGTCCCGAATCAACGCTTCTCTGATACACAGAAACTGAGCTGGTTTCAAAATTCTAAATTCAGTGCCCCTTAATTTGTTAATGGTTGTCAAAACTAACTTTATTTCATTCACGAGTCTAATTTTCTTTTCAAAGTCCGCCATGTTTATCTAGGACACTGCGTATCGGAATATCTCTAGAGTCACTGAAAAATCAATTGACCAATGCGATGGTCTAATCAGCCGATATCAATTTACCACTGACCCGTTGTTTGTGTCGAAGTATCAATCAGCGGGTGGCCAGTTAACCAGTTGACGCTATCTGGGACCCTGTTTAAACAATGCACCATGCATGATACTTTTTAATGAGACCTGTTTAAAACATCGTAAATACTTCAAACACAATATTTTTTGACTATAATTTGAGTTTGGAAAAAGTGGATCATAATCTATCAAAGTTTCCTATTGATCGCTTTCTAAATTTTTCCCTCCCTCAGCTCGTTACTGATGACCTTTGTTTGCGGCCTGTTGACCCAAACAGGAAGTTGTCTAAATGACTGTTTTTTCCGGATTGGACTAAATAGCGATAAGGTGTATTGTCTATTGTCGTGCATTGTTGTTGATTAATTTCGTTCAATAGTGTAAGGGAGCTACCATTTGATTTCTTTGGGGGTGGGGGCTAGGACCAAATTAGAAAAAAAGTCAGGATTAAATGGTAGCTCCCTATTAAAACACATGTATGTGTTCATTTGTAATTGTCATTTGATGATACTGAGTCTGATAGTTGCACCGGTTGACCCATGGTTAATCAGTCCAATAGTCCAAATAATTATGACGTCTAGGAAGGCTATTTTAAATTTTTGCTTTGACCCTTCCTGTGTCAATATGGGATAAAAAAAAGTCAAAATCGAAAAATACCCACAGCAGATGGCATGATCATTGATTATCTGGACTATAATAGTCCAATGGCAATGTCGACGTCTGGACCTTATTTCAATAAAAAAATTAGTTACTTACTTGCAAATCACCTCAAAATAAACCGATCTCAAGGTTTTGTTTATATAAGTTGCACCGGTTGACCCAAGGTTAATCAGTTCAAATTACGTCATCGGACAAATCATGGTGTCAAACACCTGAATTACATTTGATACTGTCCACTCAGTTAAACCCTTGAAATCATCCATTGTTGTGTACATACATGTATCTAGTATCCTATTGTCTATATCAGTCAATTCAATACAATACAGTTGTTACCTTATCATCTTCATTTATAGCAAACACAATTAAAAATTATTCATTACAAAACCTTTAACACCATGTTTAAAAAGGGTGTGAATGTGTTTGTTGCGAAAGTAAAAGTGGGCAAAAATAAATGAAGACCACAATTTAGTCATCATTTAAACACAATTTAGCAGAGCAACCAACAACTGTTGATCATTTTCGGGCTTCTGACTTGTGACTTGCACATACAGAATGTTACCGGGTTAAACATGTTTGTTATTGGGACACGCTACCACTAACCTGGGACAGTGGCCATGGTTTAACAGCAGAACATAATATCAGACATAAAAAATCTGTTAAAAAAAGGCTTGACTCACCAGACAGGTTCTATTAGCAACATCACTGTAATAGTATATAGATATAAGAAGATGCGGTGCCAATTATATACATGTATTCCCCAGCCAAATATTATCTCTTTAACAGAGGAAATAGTAGATGATAAAAAACGTATTTATTGGTCAAAGGCATGGGAGGATGGATTATCTATTCCATATGATGGTGTGCCATTTATTATTGTTGGTCATGAGGATTTTGAATGCCACCATGGACAAAACCACAAAGGAAAGAATGGACTTCAAGTAAATTCTAATCTGTCTCAGGTATATATATAAATAAGATGAAGACTTCAAATGATTTTGTAATTTCATTTTATACATGTACATGTATGTAATTATTTTTTTTCACATTTTTTAATTGAAACAGGATCAAACCTGATCGTATATAGTCATTTAGTCTGCAGAATTTTGATAACTGTCTTACTTCACCTATCATGCCTGTTGCTTTAATATATTTACCGGTATATAGAATAAAGGATTTGTTTTTGAAAACCTTATGTTTTACTGTCATGACTATGATAAAGTGGGATGGTATGAAGAACATTATAAATCTTTATTCTTTTTATTGGTGAAATCACTGAATTGAAGAATATCGGTGAATTGACAAATATGAAAATTTTAATTAGTTTGAAAATAAAGCAAATAACATTTGAACTACTTTTTTTGCATTGAATTAAAACTACAAATTAAAGTTCATGTTTCATTGATAAAGGCTGCATTATAAATATCATTTAAAATTTATACATGTACCATTTAGCTAAACATGGTGTTTCCTTGCACAAAGAAAATTGATAACTCTTGTATACAATTCATAACTTCTGTTTCTAAAACAATGTAAAATACATGTATTGTATCCTACACATGCTACAGGTAAGTCAAGTTCAGATTGAAAAAGGGGAATGTGTATATGTAAATAGTCATCTCATAATACATTGACCATCATACCACTTACATGTATTTCCAAATTTTTAAATGGTAGTCCTACTAGAATAATCAAATGAGTTTTGTTTTATTCTTATTTTGTTTCAGTATATATATATATATTTCATGCTAGCTGTAGAACCATAGCTCTTGTGGTCCTTTGGATATTTTTCTTTTGTATTTGTAGACTACTCAGACAGTAACAATTGCAGCACCTTTACGGTTACTATTTATGTGTTGCATCTATATATGAATTGTAACACTTTATAGTGACTGAACAGGTAAAACACATTCTTCTCAAGAAACAGAAAATTAGAAGACACTAGCTTATAAATGAAAACTCAGATTTGGATATTTCTTACAGAATGAGGACCACAGCTATGGAAGCCGAAAAAGGAAGCGTATGATCCAGAATACAAAAAAGATGGATTGTCCTGCTTTCATCAAAGTTAAAGTTGTTGTCAAGTTCCCTCAGTTCAAAGTAAGGAACCATTTTAAATACCCAAAAACATAGAAAGTAACTAAATTGTAATAAGCCATGAGGCAGAATAGAAAACATTTATATCATTAAATTCTATGGTTTAAGATATCTTAGTAACTTTAATAAGTTGATTCTGAAAAAAAAATACCAAGAGGATACTTATGATTATTGACTAACAGAAACTACCTCATCTTTTTATGTGGTACTAATTTAACACTGAAAATCTAATATGTTTACCTTTCTAAGACTTGCCAATCCTCACATTCTTATAACCTAGCCTTGACCAGTAGTTCAACTGTCTCAGATTAGTACATGTATACTCAATAAAAGGATTATAACCATAACTTCACAAAATATTCCAACAGAAAATAGAATAATATTTAAAGCAGAGCCACAGGCATTTTAATGAAAGTAAGAGACATTAATGACCACTTTGTTATAACAAAGGTTGAAGGAATGGTATCTGAGTGGCAGAGAAGAGAAATGGTTAAGAAAATTAAACACAGAGAAAATTTGGAGAAGGAAGGCAGATTTTATATTTTCTTTCCGAGTGATGACCAGTATGAAAACCATTTAACAGGAGAGGCAAGTAGATAATAATCGACATATAAATCCAAGACAAAACTGTGCAAGATTTATTTGTAATGTCATTTCTTTTAAATAATCAATTTAAATTCCTTGCGTAACCACCTACATGTATAATGAGGAAAGATATAGACTATGTTATATACCTCTTAAGACTGAACTGACATATGTCTCACTGGCTACAATGAGGTCAGATATATACCATGTTATATACCTCTTGAGACTGTACTGACATTTGTCTCACCGGCTACAATGAGGTCAGATATAGACCATGTTACATTCCCCTTAAAACTGTCCTGATATTTGTCTCACCAGCTACAATGAGGTCAGATATAGACCATGTTATATTCCCCTCAAGACTGTACTGACATATGTCTCACCGTCTACAATGAGGTCAGATACAGACCATGTTATATACCTCTATAGACTGTACTGACATTTGTCTCACCAGCTACAATGAGGTCAGATATAGACCATGTTATATACCTCTTGAGACTGTACTGACATTTGTCTCACAGGCTACAATGAGGTTAGATATAGACCATGTTATATACCCCTCAAGACTGTACTGACATTTGTCTCACCAGCTACAATGAGGTCAGATATAGACCATGTTATATACCTGTTAAGACCATACTGACAATTGTCTCACTGGCTACAATGAAGTAAGATATAGACCATGTTATATATCTCTTTAAACTGTACTGACATATGTCTCACCGGCTAAAATGAGGTCAGCTATAGACCATGTTATATTCCCCTTAAGACTGTACTGACATTTGTCTAACCGGCTACAATGAGGTCTGATATATACCATGTTATATACCTCTTGAGACTGTACTGACAATTGTCTCACCGGCCACAATGAGGTCAGATATAGACCATGTTATATTCCCCTCAAGACTGTACTGACATATGTCTCACCGGCCACAATGAGGTCAGATATAGACCATGTTATATTCCCCTCAAGACTGTACTGACATATGTCTCACCGTCTACAATGAGGTCAGATACAGACCATGTTATATACCTCTATAGACTGTACTGACATTTGCCTCACCAGCTACAATGAGGTCAGATATAGACCATGTTATATACCTCTTAAGACTGAACTGACATATGTCTCACCGGCTACAATGAGGTCAGATATATACCATGTTATATACCTCTTGAGACTGTACTGACATTTGTCTCACCGGCTACAATGAGGTCAGATATAGACCATGTTACATTCCCCTCAAAACTGTCCTGATATTTGTCTCACAAGCTACAATGAGGTCAGATATATACCATGTTATATACCTCTATAGACCGTACTGACATTTGTCTCACCAGCTACAATGAGGTCAGATATAGACCATGTTATATACCTCTTGAGACTGTACTGACATTTGTCTCACCGGCTACAATGAGGACAGATATAGACCACGTTATATACCTCTATAGACTGTACTAACATTTGTACCAGCTACAATGAGGTCGGATATAGACCATATTATATACCTCTTAAGACTGTACTGACATTTGTCTCACCAGCTACAATGAGGTCAGATATAGAA